AGATAAATCCAGAGCAGCATCAACTTCATCTAAAATATAAAAGGGTGCGGGTTTTACTTTTAAAAGAGCTAAAATAAATGATAAAGCTAATAAAGAACGCTGGCCCCCCGAAAGCTCTGATAGAGAAGCTTTCCATTGAGAGTGGAACCCTATCTGGGGTGTATAGGCAGCTCGATGCACACACACACACATAAAAAAAAGAGTAAAATAAGGTAAATATAAATAAAAATAAATAAAAATAAATATATTTAAAAAAAAATAATAAAAAAAATAAAAAAATAATAAAGAACGCTGGCCCCCCGAAAGCTCTGATAGAGAAGCTTTCCATTGAGAGTGGAACCCTATCTGGGGTGTATAGGCAGCTCGATGCACGCACACACACACATATAAAAAAGAATATATTTACTTTTATTTATTTTTATTTATTTTTATTTTATTTTATTTAAAAAAAAATAATAAAAAAGATTAAAAAATAACAAAGAACGCTGGCCCCCCGAAAGCTCTGATAGAGAAGCTTTCCATTGAGAGTGGAACCCTATCTGGGGTGTATAGGCAGCTCGATGCACACACGCACACATATATATATATTTATTTTTATTTATTTTTATTTTATTCTATTCTTTTTTATATTTAATATATATATTGAATTTATTTTATTTTAAAAAAAAAATAAAAAAAGCTAATAAAGAACGCTGGCCCCCCAATAGCTCTGATAGAGAAGCCTTCCACTATTTGGGGTGTATAGGCAGCTCGATACACACATACACACATATATATTTACTTTTATTTATTTTTATTTATTCTTATTTATTTTTACTTATTTTTATTTTATTCTTTTTTATATTTATCATTTATTTTATCTTTTTTAAAATAAAATAAAGCTAATAAAGAACGCTGGCCGCCGGAACCCCACGTGGGGTGTATAGGCAGCTCGAGACACACATACATACACATACATTTATTTTTATTTCTTTCTTTTTATTTAGTTTTATTTTATTTTATTTTTATTTAATTTTACTCTTTTTATTTTTATTTATTTTTTATATTTGTGTATTTTTTTTAGTTTTTGTTTTCTTTTTTTTGGTTTCGGGTTTCTACGCCTTTCCCTTGATCTTCATCAACAAAAAACACCAAAAAACAAAAATAAAATAAAATAAAACAAAATAAAATAAACAGATAAACATAAATAAACATAAATAAATATAAATAAATAAAAATAAATAAAAACATAAATAAATAAAAATAAATAAAAATAAATATAAATACCTTCACTTCTAGCCCCCTCATTAGATCTTCTTCATCTGCTTGTAGAAAAAAAACAAAAAACAACAAAAACACCAAAAAACGCAAAACAAAAAAACAAAAACGAAACAAAACAAGATAAAGTAGAATAAAACAAA